CCCTCCAGAACTTTGGGCAAAATTTCTTGCTGAGCTATTGAGTTTCAGACTCAGTGGAAATATGCTTTGGTGCGCTCTGTTTGGTCACTTTTGTAATTGACTGACCTTCTGGACAGTCAGCTGTCCAGCTTAGTAAGAAATTAAAGAAATGAAATAGGCACCAGTGAACTACTTGGTGTGACGTACAGATCGAAATCGGAATTGGACCGGACACAACAACCCTCAGAAACCCTTCATTTATCTTATATCAAGTACAGTAGTTTAGCAAAACAGCCAAAAAACGTCCGTCAGTTGTTGCTCGTCTATTTTGTCCTTACGTACAAGGAAAAGGATATTCTGTGCTGAAATATTTGAATAAAATGATTCGTTTTTATGCGTTTTTTGCAGCTATGCAATGCAAAAACGAATATTGACAAGGGGTTGTCCGTGTATTCGTCTGTGCCAATTTTTTATCTCGACACCTACAAATGCTATAAGGCTGAAACTTTGGGAACATAGTCTGCATGCATGGGCGACACCCTATCCATATAACGGGCATTCTTGCCCACGTGGTTGCCACGTGTGGGCTCGTGAAAATTTTTGGTAGGTAAGTTGCTAACTCGGGGACCTGAAAAGCTAGAAACCTGGGATTTTAGGGGAATATTTCCTGACAGTTGTGGTGGGGCTAGTCTCAATTCTTTTAGCTGTAAGCATCTGCCGTAAAAAACAGTGCCGTTAGCGAAAAAAAACATGCGGGTAACTGTGCAAAAAACGCATCTTAGCAGCCGGTGTGCTGGCCAGTTATACGGTGCAGTTATTACTGAATTGATGTTACTGTCTTGCAATTTCTCCGGTTTCCAGGTTCTAGTTGTTTAATTTTGCAGATTTTCCTAAAAAACAGAATGAGGTGAGAGTACTTTGGAGCATTTCACATGGCTGCAACGAAACTTTTTTGGCCCAGACCTGACCGTCAGTTGATGGCATCGGCACACTTCTGTAGTGCTACTTCGTGGAGCAAGAAGCCGCCGTTGCTAGACTGGCCAAGAAAAGTAAGCTTTCTAAGAAAATGTGTTTTTTATTCATTTTTTTTTTTTTTGCAATTTTGCGGATGTTTTGCTTGGACCTTTTTTTTATCCCACTGTTTCCCAGAGAAGTCAGGAATTTCGTAGTTATCATCGAAATTTTCCAGGACCGTGGTATAGTGCCAAAATTGTTCGATCTGGAAGTGTACTGGAAGGATGTAGCGCAGAAGCAGCCTCCTCGTGATGTATCTTCTGTGATTTGTTCAATTATTTTCTAAATTTGAAGAATGAATTTTTACTTTCAAATATTATGAATTTTTACTTCCAGATATTATGCAAAAAATTTCGACTTTTACTATCTTTGTTTTTTTCTTTTTTTGATAAAAACCATGGCAATTTTTCAGCCTTCACGACCAAGAAAATATATTCTGTCGATGATACCGTATCCCTCTGGAAAATTACATATGGGTCATATGCGGGTTTATACTATTTCGGATACTCTTGCACGATATTACAGGTAACTTTTGCATCTTCACTTTCCTCAAACTACTTGTAATAACTCTGATTTAAGGTTAAGTGCAAATTTTGTTAGAAAATGTAGAAATGGATGATAGAAAAGGACTCACTGGTGTATTAAACTTTTTTTCACTGGTGTACTTTTTTCTGGCTTCCTACTTTTTTGAACTCACTGGCGTATTAAAGAGGACGAAGGAAAGAGGGCGTATGGTAAATTATCATAGGATGGGTATGGTAAATTTTTATTTTTTTGCAAAATATCATTGGTTGACCATCGTGAAATTTCGACCCAAATATCTCATCGTGAAGTGGGAGTGGAAACGCACCGGGTAGATTATCGTCGTGTTTCGAAATACAATCTCTGGCAGCTCCAGCGAGGTACCATTCCTCATCCTGTCTATCCAAAATGAGGAATAGTGCTTTCTTAAGGTTACCAGCTTCAAAAGATACAGACCAATGTAAGCTTGACGAATGGTTGGTGACAAAATTCGTTGCGTTTTCCCTCCTCCTCCCCTCTCCCCTCCTCTCCCGTCCCGTTTCTGTTTATTTAACTGCTTTATTCGTACGATCATCTGATGCTGTATCATTTTTTGCACTTCTTAGCGCTAAAAAGTTGATGAAATAAATAATTTCTTTAAAATTTGTTTCTTTAAGGCTAAATGGTTATGACGTGATTCATCCGATTGGTTGGGATGCATTCGGTCTGCCAGCTGAGAATGCTGCCTGGGAAGTGGGTGCTGACCCTGCGCAATGGACTGCAAGGTAGAAATTTTTTAAATTTTTTTTTCTTTCGATCAAACAAAAAACGTTATTGAAGTTCCCTCTGCTCAACAGACTACAGGGCTGTTCTGATCGTAGTAGTATTGACTGTAAAAACACATTGTGTTACAGCAATATCGAAGTTATGCGCGAACAGCTACGAAGTACAGGGATCATATTTGATTGGGACAGGGTAAGTGCTACCGGAATTTCGTCTAATCGACATTGATTTTCCCGTCATAGAGGTACATTTTTTTTAATATTTTCAGGAAATCTCCACATGCTCTCCTGATTATTACAAGTGGACACAGTGGATTTTTTGCCGGTTGTTTCAGCGAGGACTGGTTCGGCGGGCATTAGCAGAGGTTTACTTTTTGGGTTTTTCGGTGTCTGGTTGATTGTAGTGGAAACGCGATTTTTTTTTTGTTATCAGTTCGTTTTCCTCGAAATTTTATTGTTTCAATTCGAATTTTGGCCGGAATGGAAATAGCAACCCCCCTCCCCCTTCGTATTCGCTCCCGCTTCGAATTTAAACAAATTCTTCTTTCTTTTATTGGTACTCATAATGTTTTTGATTATGTACTGCTTTCCCTCGCTTTTATATTTTGGCCCAGTGAGGTTCCATTTTGATAAATTTAAAAAAAAATGCTTCCTCCTGTATAAAAGTGAAGAAAAATGCATACAGGTTTATTGGGACCCTGTTGATTGTACCGTTCTCGCTGCTGAACAAATCGATGCGGAAGGGCATTCGTGGCGATCCGGAGCACTTGCTGAAAAGCGTAAAATGAAGCACTGGCTGGTGGAGACACCGAAATATGCTAAGGTTTGTATAGATTTTTTTGAAAACCTACTTTTTTTTGAAAAATTTTGCTTTCGCAGTAGTTGATTTCTGAATGAAATTGTAGCGCATGTATGATGGACTGAGGAAACTATCACGCTGGAAGGAAGTGGCCGCAATTCAAGCGAACTGGATAGGAAATTGTGATGTTTGGCGATTTTTACTGCCGTTAAAGGTAACTTGCGAAGATTCTACTTATAGGAACTTCATACTTACGCAGTTTACGGTGATGCCTGTCATTTTTGACCGGCATGTTGGGATTACTCTCTTTTTCGATTTTTTTTTTCGAAAAATAACTGAATGTACAGGTAAGAAAGTAAAATTGAGAATTTGTCGAATGCAGAGGGAACAGTCAAAAAATGTACGCCTTAGAGGATCGAAGGACTTTCATTTATGCGCCCCGCTTTTGAAAGCTTCCCAGTAACTTCGCTAAAATGGTCACTACACTCATTATCCGTGCGATTTGACTTTTTTGGTAAGGAGGGGAAGTGAATTCCGCATGTGCTGCATAAAATAAACGGTTTACTTTGAAGGACTCTCTGAAGCGAGTCTGTTCCTTGACATTTACGTATATTTTAAGGGAGAAAATGGCGTGCTGTTGGATGAAAAGCTGGACCTTCGGATACGAGAGCCACGTTGTTTGACCAGTGCTAATGTGGTGTTCGTGCGTCGTGGTCATCCTCTCATTTCATCTCTTGACGCTAAAGAAGATATTGGTAAGATAGCTGCTGCTTATTTCAGTAATAATGGACAATCCATGTGTTTGTGTAAAAATTTTTTGCGTTTCATATATGACACTAGTCAGTCTTCAGATCAGAAATTTTTTACGAACATTTTTTTGAGGAATCTTCAAATCTTGTGCAAAATCCGATGGGCAACTCATATTGCTCACCCCACGTTCCTAATAGTCCAAAATTTCTTTTCCGTCATTTTTTCAGGTGTTTTGAAAGTGACTGCAATGAATATCGTAACAGGCAAAGAAATGCACATAATATATTTGAATAATGAGGATGCTGCCAAAGACGAAGCTGACTTCATCCTGGATGCAAGACTTCCATCTAGCACGTTGCAGTCCGATAAAGCGATTATGGAAAGCTTCGGATTTTCGCAAGCAAACAGCTCTTCTTCACTCAGTAACAACGATGTTGTCCAA